TCACCGTCTCATGACATGACAAATGGTAAATAAAAACTGCACTCTCGACATTAACCCGGATTTAGACCTCCCTCCAGCTGTCTCTAGACCCAGACGTGCAGGATCATGAGCCCATTAAATGGGTTTAGCCGCTCTCGAGAGATAGGGGTTACTGGTTCTCTTAACTCGAGTGCTTGCAACTCAAGCACTTATTGATGGAAATGAAAACAACACCATGAAGGGAGGAAGTGGGATGTGTACAGGTTTTCCTCAGGCTGTTTATCTTTGTTAGAGGTGAAAACCTTCCCCACTACATCAGCACACAGAACAACAGCTCCTTACTTTGACTTATTTAGAGAGAAAAATAGATTTTACTTATAAAAAAAGTATGGTGGTACCATAGTACATCGATGTCAAATTATTATACCTGGATACTTTGAATTATACCACTGCACTGATAATGATTATTTTATTTATACACTATAGTATTTACACTACTTTTTTTTTTTTTAATGTTTTTGAAAAAAAAAAGTATCTTATGCTCACCAACATCAGCAATATTGTGAAATATTATTACAATTTAAAACAACTTTTTATTTTATATATTTAAAAATATAATTTATTCCCGTGATGCAAATCTTAATTTTCAGCATCATTACTCCAGTCTTCATTGTCAAATGATCCTTCAGAAATCATTCTAATATACTGATTTGATGCTCAGTAAACCTTTTCTTATTATTATCAATGTTGAAAACCGTTGTGCTGATTATTATTTCTGTGGAAATGGCAGTGTATTTATTTTCAGAATTCTTTGATGAATAGAAAGTTAAAAAGAACAACATTTATTTGAAATATAAATGTTTTGTAACATAATAAATGTCCTTTCTGTCACTTTTAATGCGTCCTTGCCAAATAACAATTTTAATTCCTTTTAAAAAAGCAAAGAACACTATGGTATTACCATGGTAGATGTCTAAAAATCTTCCAATGAAAAAATTACCATGGTATCATGTCCCTTACAAAAAAAGTACATGGCACATTGATGGTACTGAAATTAATGTACCATAGTTTTTATATAGTACTCCAAGGTATTTTCAAGAATACTTTTTGCCACCATGACACCACGACTAAAATACCACGACAGCAGTCCAAAAAGCCATAGTATAATATAGTATAATATGGTACCTTTTGGTACATTTTTGTTAGCGTATTATAACCAAAAACCGAAGCAAAACTAATCTACAATGGTGCAAAAAACATGGTATAATAATATGGTATAATATTTTTGTTGCCAAAAAAAACAAAAAAAAAAAACCCCCGGCTAAACTCAAATGTCATTTTAATTTTAAAGTGTGTTTAAACAAATAATAGCACCCGCAGAGAGTGTCAATGCCCCTGTCCATCACTCCTCCAAAGAAAAACCATCAGACAGGTTCTCTCTTGAAAAAAAATTGGGTGGTTTGTTTCCTTGTAACTCCAGACAGGAAGCCGTCAGATACGCCGTATGAGACACAGCGGAGGGGTGGAAGACATAACGTCATCGCAAACTCACAACATGTCACGCAAATTAAACAAAACAAAGATCAAGGACCAAACAGCCGCGTTTGCAGAAGTGTTCTGCTATTTACTCATCCTCATTTGCATGGAGATAAAGACACATAAAGAAGCAGGAGGACAAAAGACACCTTCGCTTTACACGTCTCAGTGTTGATTAATAAGGAACTGTTGAGGATCTTCCCCTGTCTTACTTTCCCTGCACTTTCATACGCACATTCTGATTTTGTCAGCAAAGCAATTAATTTCTGAAAGGCTTTGATGGTTTGATAACAGGAGGCTGTTGTGCAGTGAAATGAAGGGAGAGGAAGGAAAGAGAGAGAGAGAGGAAATTTGATCAAAAGTATGGATTTTGATGCAGGACACATCTCAGGTACTCAGAAACTGATCTGAAACCCACTGCGATGTGTGCGTGTCATATTTAGCAGGCTGCTGAGCTGCTCTTATAAGTGTAGATCAATAGACCACCCAGTACTTCTTCACATACATTATATGTATTATATTTTGTGAACCAGTAAACAGTAACCCTCTGGTTACCAGCCACATTATATTAAGCCTAGTGGCTGGTAACCAGAGGGTTACTGGTTCATTCCTACAAGGGTTGAGCCTTAAGCAATCATCTCTGTGTCATTGTTTCAGGCACTTAACCTCAAGTCACTTCTGGTGTGATTGCCACTGAATTAAGTGTGCTAGAAATACCTTTAGTTATAGAAACTTCTATGAGCACAGACTGTGGCTGTCAATAGAAAAATCTGTATTTAAGTCATTCAAAACCTTCAGCTCTGCTGTAGATCTCAAATTCATTCAGTTCAAATATAGCACTAAATGATGTGTTACCAGACTCTACAGACAACTTTTTTGTCAAGACTAGACTGTTATAAATTTATAATTAGAATTTATGTAAATCGATACTGGATATTTCTGATATATATATATATATATATATACACACACACACACACACACACACACATATACACACACACACTACCATTGAGGTCACTAAGGTTTTTTAATGTTTAGAAAAGAAGCCTCTAATGTTTACCAAGGCTGTATTTATTTAATAAAAATCAAGTAAAAACAGTCATTTGCTGAAATATTGTTATATACATACACGTTTTTTAATATGGTTTATATATAAACACAATTTTTATGCATGTAAAATAACATACATAGCAATAAAAGCATTACATACTGTATATGCAGCATTGTATGTGATGATACATATATACAATATAACATTTAAAAAATGTTTAAACTATTAATTTGATCTTATACAGCATATTGCAAATAACCTTTCACACTCTCAAAAACAAAATAAATGAAGAAAAAAAAAAAAAACTATCAACTTTTAATGTTATTATTGCAGGTTGTTGCAGTCCAAAACATTAACTATACATATACAGTATATTATATAATACTATATACTGTACTTATCATTTCAAAACTATATATATATATATATGTATGTATAATATACATACACGTTTTTTAATATGGTTTATATATAAACACAATTTTTATGCATGTAAAATAACATACATAGCAATAAAAGCATTACATACTGTATATGCAGCATTGTATGTGATGATACATATATACAATATAACATTTAAAAAATGTTTAAACTATTAATTTGATCTTATACAGCATATTGCAAATAACCTTTCACACTCTCAAAAACAAAATAAATGAAGAAAAAAAAAAAAAACTATCAACTTTTAATGTTATTATTGCAGGTTGTTGCAGTCCTATTTTATTTCCATGAGTCTCCAAACTTTCCTAAAGCTTTGAATCAAGAAACTTGCTTGCCATGAACAAAACCATATCCTTTTGTGACCCTTCCACTGCATTCATCTGCATTCATTCACCTTCCTTTTCCTGCTTCCGAGCTCTTTGTCCTAAGTCTAATTTGTCTGAATCACTGAAAGCGAGGAGAGGAGGCATACGGCTGCTCAGATCTCTTGGATAATTCTATTGGACGCTTCTAATTAAATCAATGAGGGCTATTATAGCAATTATCTGGCCAAATGGGACTGCATTGTGTCCGCTCGATACATTTAGTAAATTCTGTCAATCTTCTTATCACCAAGATGGCACATGCTGTAACCCCGTTTTAATGATGTATCTGGATATGTACAATGTCTTGCACGTGGTTTGTCTTCCTCATCAAATCAAAGAGATAGTGAGGCTCTTTTGTGCCTCCAGCCCACTCAAACAGACACATTAAAGTAAAATCTGGATGTAATTTGTTTTTGTCATGCCGTGACTTCATTTCCTTACTTGTAATGCGGATATTCTATGCATTGACTAACAAATCATTCATTTGCGAGAGATCCGGGCTGTCAAACAACATTTCCTGCGACAGAAAAATCACTTATTTTTGTGCAATATTTTTTACCAAATTAGTATCCTGCCACCTAATTTTATCACATAAATTTACTTTGATATATAGTTTTGAGACACACACATACACACATCAGCAACAGCAACATTTCAGTCCCAAGCATGAAAATGCAACTTCCAACTTATCTACATTATTTTTTAATTAATTTTAGCAAAGATAGTATAACAATTAATACCTCTGGTCCCAACCACTGGAATCTGGAAATCTTGTTTTCCTGCACATATGTCTAAAGATTCTTAAATCAAGATATGTTTACTTCAGAAGCAAAATGACATAAGATAAGGAGTCTTGTTTTCTGTGGAATTGATCAGAATGAAGTGACTGCATGATTAAAACAAGACCGAATATCTGCCAATCAACTGGATTAAACTTAATTAAAACAAGTACCCCATCGACAGATATTTGTTGCTGTTTAAAGTATAACTGACTTAATTTTTTTTCAGTTTTTTAAGACTTAATTTTCCTTTTGCATCTCAAGTAAATCTTGAGACACCTTGATTTAAGGATGTTTGAATATTTGTGACCCTGGACCACAAAACCAGTCATAAGGGTAAATTTTTCGAAATTGAGATGTATACATCATTTGAAAGCTGAATAAATAAGCTTTCCATTGATGTATGGTTTGTTAGGATAGGACAAGATTTGGCCGAGATAAAGCTATTTGAAAATCTGGAATCCGAGGGTGAAAAAAATCTAAATATTGAGAAAATCGCCTTTAAAGTTGTCCAAATGAATTCTTAGCAATGCATATCACTAATGAAAATACTGAGGAAGATATTCATTTTTTTGCAATGCATGCACCGTTTAATGCCATGACTTTATGAATTTAAGACTTTCTGTTTTGATTTAAGACTGTTTAAGGCCTTAATGTGTGGAAGGGCAAATTAAGACCTTTTTAAGACCTACAGTCTGACTCATTAGTGTGTCATCGCAAACAGTCATGTCAGAGACATGAAAACAAGAAAACAAGAAACCCTGATAATATTATATTTATATACATATATACATTATAAATACATAAAATATAAATAAAAAATATATACATTTAGCATTTTCTCACCTCATAGAGTGTAATGACTCCATTAGTTTCATTCGGGGCCTTCCACTGCATGAAGATCTTCTCCTCGTATGGGCCTGTCTGGATGGACTCCATAGGAATGGGGCCAGGAACTAGTATAGTAACACAAACACACATTCAAACTCATTTAGCAACTCAAAAACATGTTTAGTCAACATCTATAATTCAAATACTGTACCACTGCATTAATACCTTGACATAAAACGTGATTGTTTTGAGATGACGTAGGGTGACAGAAATGGCTTGTGTTGCTGGGTAGAAGGTAAAGTGAGGCGAGCAGAGACTGGCTGACTAAAGAAGCAAAACTATGTCAAACACACCTCAGCCGCAATGTTCGAAGTGTGAATTGTAACAGCTTTGCTACCCTTCGGTATCGAGAGGTGTTAACAAGTGCTACGAGTACCACTGCGCACATATGTGTGCGTCTGTTTGCATATTTTTGTGCGTACGTCCCCTCTGGCACACATTGCAAGTTTTCCAAATATACTCTTGCTAGAACATCATTAACACCCTAAAAACCTGTTTTCAAGATGTCATTATCCATACACAGCTTCATCCTGCTCTCATATGCCAGCATAGCATTTTCAGAGATGCTATGACTTGACGATTTCATAAATTAGCATGCAAATGTGCTAATTTGGCCCGGTTTAGCAATAGCACATACAGTATGTTAACTTGAGGCTAGTTGTCTTTCATTTCTCAGTCTTGGTTAGCGTCTCTGACATGGCTGTTTGCGATGACACACTAATGAGTCAGACTGTTCCTGACAGTGTGTGCAAAGAGAGTTAATGACTTAGCTAAAAGGACATTTAGTCCAACTTAGCAGCTCTAGCACTGCTGTTTGCTTTGCACTAAGTCGCGGCTAATTGGGAGGGCAGATTAAAGAGATGAGCGTGGCAGGGCCGTAACGGAGCAAGCGGGAGAGGAAGCTTGGGCACAAACAGATTAGCTGGTGGTCGTCTTGAACGGCGAAGAAAAGAATAACAACATCTACTGTTCATGCAGCATTTCATTAACACAGACACAACCCACAAACCTAATCCATGAACTATTTCATTGAGGAAAAGCTAATCTAGCTGTATTTTTATTTTGAGAATCTCATTTATTTAGCAAAAGAGAATGTTTCTTTTTCCTCCTTGAACAGATTTAATCTCATTTTATTCTTTCTGTTTATTTCTTTTGCATGTAACTGGCTCATCTTCAAAATGTTGAGAGGTTGAGATATTTGCCTTCATTTATTATTAAACGCTGAATAGTCTTAAGCATCTATTTTTCAATGGGAAAAGATTTAAGCTGATCTAATAACTTAAAACACAAACACTTTCACTGTCCTGACATTTGAGAGGATTCATTAATAAAGCACGCAAATAATTTCTAGTCAATGTCCACACAATTATGATTAATTACTGAACAACAATGTAATGTGTACAAGAACTTTAATTAATTTTTCTTTTTTTTTTACACTGGTTTGCTTTATCTTATTTTATTTGGATGTGTATATAAATATGTCTATGCATATAATACTGTGTTTGTAAGTTCTTGTTTTTTTTTTGTTCTCTTAATTCTGTAATAGTTCAAAGTATTAAGTTATGCCTTGAGATGTTTAATTGTTTCTTCCAATTAATGAGAAAAAAGAGATGATCTCATCTCATCACATCTTTCTGTTTGTTTATATTGCATATGACTAAGTTCATCTTCAAAAGGTAGAAAGGTTTAGATATTTGCCATAAAACACTATTAAAAGCTAAATAGTTTTTGGAATGTATTCTTTAATGTGAAATGGTTTGAGCTAATCAGATATCTTAAAATAACACACTTTTACTGGGAGCATTACAGCTGCTGAGATCTGAGAGGATGCATTATTAAAACATTAAAATCATGTCTAGCCAATGTCCATAAAAGTATGATTTGTGCAATAATGACATTTTCTTCCAAAGTTTCACCATTACTGAACAACAATTTAATGTGCACATGAGTTTCAGTTAAATACTGATTCACTTAGAAAGTACACTGGTTTGCTTTATTAATAGAAATAATTTTCTGAACTAATGTATGAGAACAACTGCACCAAACTTTATGTTGTAAGAGAACATGGATATGAATATAATCTAATTCAGAGTGAATACAGATCATTTGCCATTGGCGTTGTGTTTGTATTTTGGAAATCTCACTTCTAGTATGCTGAAAAGTTGCCTTTTTCTCACTGAATGGAGTTTATCTCATTTCATTATTTCAGATTATTAATCTGAAGCATACGAATAAATTAATCTTTAAAAGGTAGCGAGGTTGAGTTATTTGCCCTCATTTGCTTTTAAAAGCTGAATAGTCAATGGGAAAATAATTGAGCTAATCAAAGAAAAGGTGAATAACGCTCTCTCACCAAGGTGCTGATGTCAGATATTGTACTGCAAAGTGAGGGCAGTTAAATTATATTTTCAACAATTTTTCAGATTGCTTGATTGGGCATTAGCCAACAAGCACATTAAATCACGGTTGCAATGAAATATAATTAGCTCCCGTCCTCCGTCCGCTATCGTTTCCTCTATATAACCATGCATGTGTGAGAAATGTTGCTTTACGTATTAATCCAGCTGATTAGCTTCTCGTGTGGAGACTATGAGTGATGTTTCATTAAGTTTGAGGTGGAGGAAACAATTTTTCCCCTTTATGCTTGTCCCTCTAAGATACAAATAACTTTTAATAGGTTGCGTAATTATTATCGTCTGATTATTTTCCGTCTCTGAATAAATCACGAACAACATATTCACTCTATTCTTGTTTACAGGCAAGCAGGTTTCCGTAAGTACAGGGTCGGTGTTGTTGTTGACCTAATAAGGTAAAAAACTGTCTGCCGTCCTCATGTTAATTTCACCCTCCTGCAATTATCCCCATATAAGGTTACACAGAGAGAGAAATTTGCTTCACTATTGATATGTTGCAGCTGTCCATCAATTTGCTAACACAAAGGACAGCAATTATAGGTTTTCATATGCAAAAAAACACACAAAAAAGGAAAAACATCAGTGGGGCAGACAAGAGCAGATACTGAATAACCAAAAGAGTTCTATCCAGATCAAAACAGACTCATCAGAACATGAAAAAGAAAAACGAACGCTTGAATTATACGCTATAATCTAATAATCTAAGGCTTGACAATAGCCTTTATTTTCATATGGTTTTATTGCTCAGCATTAAAAACAAGCTGGGAGAAATTAATTGTAAACGGAGTCTGAGCGCTTCCCTCTGGGAAATTTTTGAATTAAGTGCCGCTTGCAAACCTTCTCTCGGTCTGAGAAACACTGTGTCTTTTCACAGACTGTGAAGCTTTAACATGCTCTACGTTGGGATTTCCTTTTAACTGCAACACATCAATGGAACGGATGGATTAAAGGAGGATGGCTTTCATCATCTTTGTTGTTTTTCTTTCGGGAAGAGCAGAGCAGTACTACAGTCTAAACAATTCTGTTTCCATTTACTTCTCTGAGTGGATCTGACTTCTGTACAGAACTGTAGTGATTCTCAAATACACAAGACAATCTAATGTCTTACAAAGCAAACACTTTCGCTGTGAGTATTAGAACTTCTGAGATATGAGAGGATGCATTATTAAAATATTAAAATACTTTCAAAATCTTTTACAAAAGTATAACAATCATGATTTTTATCAAATTTTATAAAGTTTAACTATTACTGAACAACAATTTAATGTGTACACGGGTTTTAATTAAATATGGGTTCACTGGTTTCCTTTACTAGCAGAATTAACTTTCCCGAACTAAATCAACTGATAACAACTGCACCAACTTTAAGTACAAAATATAATCTACATTAAGAGGGAATACAGATCACTTGCCTTTGGCGTTGTTTTAATTTACATGGTCCTCGTGGTTCATTTCATATAAAAGAAGACCTGACAGAACATTACCATGGCTACTCAACAATAAATGATCAAATAAAAAAATGGACATGTAATATGTGGAAATTATTTTATCTTCTGAAAAGAATGAGACCATGGAGTGCTATAAGAGACATGCAACTAGCACAGTATAGGAAATTGATTGCTAGGCACAATAATTATACAGTTTAGTGGTCATTATACACACACTATTTGATTATCCAATCGGAATCAAGTATTCCAGAGAGCCATGTTAACATTTGTTAATCTTTTTTTTTTTTTTTTCTCACTGTACACTCTTTTTCTCTCTCTTTTTTATTTAATATCTAAGTGCTGGTTTAGCCTAATTAGAAAACTTTGTGGGTAAGAGATATAATTGTGAGCACTAAAATACATAGATTTTCTTCTACTTGAATTTATGTCTTTTTACTTGAAGGTTGTTTGAGGAACATTTTAAATGGAGGCAGTAAGAATCCCTTAGGCTATAAAAATGAAACCAAGAACAGAATTTACTGGCTTTTAAACTATTTTTGGAAATCTACACTGTTTATTTTTGACCACAGTGCAAAAGTAGGAGGTTGTAAATGACCACTATTGAATAGCATTTCCCGAAATGAAATCACTGAATTTCCACTGCTGCCCTCTGAAAAGCTTCAGAAATGCATTCAGCTGGAAAGAACACACAAGTGCTCTGAGACAAAGACTTAAAAAACAAAACCAAAGGCCCTTCAGCTCTCAAGAACCAGAGGTAAGACCATCATTAATTAAAATGCTGGATAATTGAAATAATGGGCTGAGATCATTGAACTATTCTCATTTTCGTATTTGAGAATAAGGGCCATGCATGTTGTCAAACTAATTTGCCAAATCTACAGCTGTCAACATTAGCTATAATAGCAGAGTCCCGGATGCGGAATATTGGCATCATTGAACATTGAACAGAAACATTAACCTCCAATCTTTCGGTACATGTGCAATTCTTCCAGTGAAGGTTAGTAGTTATTACTTCTGTTCTTGTTTAATTCAAATGTCTAGTGAGATTCAGTGAAAGAACAAGTGTTAATGATTTCTGTACAAAGCTCCATTTAAAATGTTCCTCAAACAACTTACAAGTAAAAAGATATCAATTCAAGAAGAATACAATCAAAGTATTTATAATGCTCACAATTATAACTCTTACCCAGGAAGTTTTCTAATAAGCCTAACCAGCACTTAGGTATTAAAGAATATAACAATAGATATTCAATTTCAAATATAGCTGTTTTGAGAGTTTTGCTGTCAGTATACAAATAGAAAAATGTATTCAATACGACACTGGTTGCAAATGAAACCATACAGATAAATAAAGGGAGAGAAAGAGTGTACAGTGGGAAAAAAAAGATGAATAAATGTTAACATGGCTCTCTGGAATACTTGATTCTGATTGGATAATCAAATATTGTTTGAATAATGACCACTAAACTGTATAATTGTTGTGCCTAGCAATCAATTTCCTATACTGTGCTAGTTTCATGTCTCTTATAGCACTCCATGGTCTCATTCTTATCAGAAGATAAAATAATTTCCACATATTACATGTCCATTTCTTTATTTGATCATTTATTGTTGAGTAGCCATGGTAATGTTCTGTCAGGTCTTCTTTTATAACTTCTTTTATATGAAGTGAACCACGTGGACCATGTAAACAAGCATTAGTGCATTTCTTTTATTTGTAAATAATTAGAAAAGAATACAAAATTGCTCGTCTGTGAACTCAAGTTTAACACAGAAAACAACAATTAATTTTTTTGCATGCAGCATATAAAACACATATTATTCAAATTACTCATTCATTTTAATGTAGAATCTTATTGCATTTTAGCTTATTCTCTTTTCTTCAATTTTTTACTTCTTACTTTTATAGTATTTATGAAACTTATGATTACAATTTTTACTTTATTTCTTTTTTTTTTGTAAATCACTTTGAATTACCTCTGTGTGTTATATAAATATACTTGCCTTGCCTTACTATGAATTTTTGTAACATTTACAGAAAAGAATATAAGAGTGAAATCATGTTCTGTAGAATGAGTGATCCATTGAATTTACAACCGGATGGACAGTTTGGCATCTTGTGTTGTCCATCTGCTAAAGGATGATGGGTTTCAGAAATAAAGTCATAAGTGATCATCATAATGTGATTACTGTTCAGACACAGTAATTAGTGAAGTAATCTCATGATAAGAAGGAGAAGTCAGGGTGCAAACTATGGAAGCGTTTGGAGTAGGGATGCACGTTACATGTCTTACAATGCAAACACTTTCGCTGTGAGAGAAAAAAAAAAAAAAAAAAGAAAAAAAACCCAGATACTAATACTGAGTGCTGGATCGACGAATCCTTAGTTTGAGGGGTCTGACCCCCCTTAATTAAAGCCAGTAAAAATGAAAGGTTTCACAACTTACAGCATCTATCCCATTCCACCATCTTAATCCCACTCACCGTCTTCCTCCGTCTGCTTGACGATCTCCTCGCTCTCCTTGCTGCCCTCAGGGTTGGCCAGCACCAGCCGTAGTTTGACTGTCACGAAAGGCCTGAGTCCCCTCAGAGTATAATGAGAGGAGGTCGGTATCAGCTCCTCAGCGGCAAACTCCTGCTGGTTGAACACATACTGGTACTGTACGGTCAGGTTGAAACTGTGGCAGCGTGTCACTGCATATCCGAAGGTCTCCCACTGCAGGGTCAGCTGACGGGCGCGGATGTCCACCACGTTCACGTTCTGGGGACCGTTGACTGGATCTGTGGGGAGAAACAGAAAGGAAGGGAAGGTCAGAGATAAATATGATGGGAAATTTTCATTACATTGTCAATTTGTCATGAGTCATATAAGAAACAATTATCAAAAGAGATAAGACTGTTCTTCTGTTCACCAAGGCTGCATTTTTTTGATCAAAATTACACTAAACAGTAATAATAATAATATAAAGGAACAGTAATATAGTTAAATATCATTATAAATTAAAAGAACTGTTTTCTTAAACATTAAAAAATGTAATTTATTCCTGTGGTGCCAAGCTGAATTTTCAGCATCATTACTCCAGTGTCACATGATCCTTCAGAAATCATTCTATGCTGATTCACAGCTCAAGAAACATTTCTTATTATCATCAATGTTAAAAACAGCTGTGCTGCTTAATATTTTTGTGGAAACTGTGATACATTTTATTTTTCCCAGGATTCTTTGATGAATAAAAATTTGACAATATAAAAGACTTCACTGTTGATTTTGGTCAATTTAACCCTTCCTTGCTGAATAAAACTGAGCCCAAACTTTTGAATGGAATATATTTAAAAATTATAAAGCAATCTAAACTCATTAAATAATATTATCACATGGTTCTGTGAAATACTTGATTCTGATTGGTCAGTTGTTGCATTTTGCAATCAAATATTTCTATAAAATTCTTTTCACAAAATAATTTAAACGAATATATTTTTTTAAATAATAAAAAATAAAACAACCTTCAATAATGATTGTCTCACTGTACAGTACAGTATTACTTACAGCATTAAGCATCCCTTATATTTCAGCATTATATTTGGACAACCTGCTCTCTAAATGGTGTCAAAGATCTTTGAAAAAACGATTTTTTTAGCAGATCACCACTTTTGTAATCAAAATTGCAAGAATTTTATTACAAGAAAGTATTACAACTATCTTCTGTTGTATATGAAATCCTAGAACAATATCGAACAGTGAAACAGACAGTATCAGAGACTTGCCAGTGGATCCAGTGGGGTTGTTGGACACAATCTCTCACACTAATTCCTCTAGATTAGACGAAAATTATAAAAGAGCCAGGCAACTGGTTTTTGACTTTGGCCTTGGGTGAATCTTGAGGGAGCCGCATGTGAAAGGGACTTTTAATGTCTTAAGATAGTTTACATCATGGCAGCCCTCTTAGGGCACTTTCGTTCTCAAAGTTCTGAGAGTTTCTGGGTGCAGAGCAATTTGAGCATTATGAGAACTGTGTCACATCTAGGACAGACATAAGCGTTTTTCAGCTTCAATGGTTCAGTCATCAGTGGCTCCTACACATGGGAATTTTAGACTTACAAAGTTTGAAGCATTGCTTATTCAACTGCATTCTGTTGAAGATCAAGCAAACCAGACAGATTGCTAGGAAAGTAAAAAAAAAATATCCATAACTGCTTTGTTGTCTGTACCTAAATGTAAACATGAAGCCGAAGCCTCATTTCAGGTTCTCTGCAGAAGATTTGCACTGATGCTAAACTCTTAGTTGAGCGAATTGAAAAATAACAACAAATGACCCAAAACCCCAAATCCTTTGCTCCTGTAGGCCAGATTATAGCTAATCTATGTTGCATCCCATCTAAAAGTGTCATCTAAGCGGATTTAAGATGGTAAATCCTACTGTACATGGTTAAGCCTCACTAGAATAGCTATAAAAGAAGAGACATATGTATGATCGAGCAATGTTTTGGCTTTCGGCCACTGAGGGTCCGTGTCCAACATGAAGCCCCGTCGAGGGGAGGTGTTGGATGGGTAGGGGATTTGCCTGTTGGACAGGTGCAGGGTAACAGTAGCATTATTAATCTGACAGAAAGAGGTGAATATGTTAGAGCATTAGCAACACGCTAATGCGCAGCCGCGGGGTATGCCATGGTGCCATAGGTGGGCTTTTGGAGCCTGGATGAGGGCTGGTGTAGTTCAGCAAGGGAAAATGCTGATGGATGGCGAGCGTACAGGGTCATTAATCGCAGACGTTGGGGAGAATTGCATAAGAGAAATCAATCTTCAGTACTGCTGCTGCGCTGCTTTGGCGCGATCACTTCAGACCCAAATGCCCCGCAACATTTATCACACCTCCACCATCCCTCTCACTCTCTCCGGAACGAGAGGGGAAACTGCAAGCAATAAACATATCAATAGGTGTCCACCATACCCAGCTGCGTGGGTTTTTAAAACTGAGATATTCAGACGAGGGAAAGACAGAGGCAGGGAATGAACAGCAGTGGAAAACAGTAAAAAAAAAAAAAAAGAAAGAAAACAAAATGTGTCTCATTCGCCATAACAAAATTGTATCATATATCGGCCAACAGTCATTCTGCTTTCTCGATATCAGCAATCAAGCATTGAAAATGACATGATGACCCATTTTTATTTTTTTAAATAAATAAAGCATTTTAACAAGTAATCTGCTGTATGGAACTAATGGAAAACAACATAAAAAAATACAGATGAAAACAAAACAAAAAAATAAAGAAAAAACAAATAAAATTGATAAAATGAATGAATAAATAAAATAATGTATATAATAAAATGATATTTAATAATAAAATAAAATAATAAACTAAACTACACTAAAACATAAAATAAAATAAACAAGAACAATAAAACGCAGCAGGCCGACAGAAGCTGTATTACACTTCTAAAGAGTCTTGTGCTTTTCTTCAGAGAAAATGTTCAGATATTACTGCAAGGTTGCACTTTGTCTCCAAAACTCAGTAAACCTTCCATCCAATGGTGATTTGTAGGCCAAAGTGGCAACATAGGCTACATGAAAACATGGCCAAACTTTAAAAAAACCCATCAAAGCTTAAAAGAGAGTGTAGATGGACACAAAATACTGTATAAATATTGCTCCAAAAACCAGTGATCTGCTGCTTTGATATGAACAAACTTAAAAGTAAATAAATAAATAAAAATTCAGTTATAAAAGTGCAATGAAATCGGTCACAAAGTACTGTTCACATAAAATGCCTTAAAATGCTGTCTAGCTAGGCAGCTCACAGGTTTTGAAACAAAGACATTACAAAAAAGAACGTGTTCACAGCACATAACACAATTAAAGAATATTGGACATGGACAGGAAGTTTGCATTGTGTGCCATGCATTTATAGTATTTGATATTAGGGCTGGGTTTTGACACAAATTTCACGATTCGATTCAATTCTCATTCACAAGCTTTCGATTCGATTACCAATTCGATTCGATTCAATGTCGATTATTTTGGATATATATCAGGTACAACTTGCCAAATTTTCTTAAGGAAAAAAAATCTCTCAACTATAATGCTGTAAAATATACATGAGTCATTTGGTACTACATTACTATAATAGGTATTAATGTGGAGGAGATGATCAGTTCACGTGTGCCTCGCTCCCGCATCTGTTGATCTGAGGTGCTACAGTGATCTGTCACTCCACATTAAACAGCGCCAAAACGGCATTTATTGTTTGAATACTGCAATACAATGGACATAAATTGAAACCTGAGACTTTGTTTCATATTAAAAGCACCAAAGCACAATGCTTATTGCGATTTATTGGATGGGAAGTGCCCTTCAATGTTCCGTCCATTAACTGAAAACAGGTTACTCTAATCGATTCTTGGGATTTAAGAATCGTTATCGTTCCGTAAAAAAGAGAATCGATTGATATCGAGATATCGATATTTTTTACCCAGCCCTATTTGATATCCAAAGTCTCCCGAAGACTCAAGTCACCCCATGCAGTGACAACTCGAATCAATTAGATTAACGCTGGGAACAGATGTTGGGTCGTTTCTCTCCAGAGTGTTTTTTAATTACTGTCTGTTTTTTTTTTTGTTTTTTTTTGCTGCAGCAAACAATACTTAGCATTTAACTCTGGATGTAACTTTAAATCTTCTCCTTTTAATTAGGTGACGTGCATCAAAGTGAAATTGTTGTACTTTGCACAGCGTGAAGAAAGAGTTTGTGTATCATGCTGGGACTTGACGTTTGTGTCAGGTTACATTCCCAGCTAAAGAATATCTCACGGCTGCAGCAGTCACAAACATTGAGGACAAATGACATCATATAGAAGTTCCTCACACTTTGGTTCAGCATAAGCAGTTTTTACCTTCACTGCAGCTTTGAGCTCTAAAACACTCAGCAAAGCAAAGTTCTGCTATACTGTGCTACTGCATTTTAGCCAAGGGCATGCTGAAGGGTCAAGTGTCACTGTGTGGCAAAGTTGAACATTTTTAAAGAGGAAAACTCGATTTTTATGAGGATACCAGGAAGGATGTTTCGTTAAAGTGCTGAGTTGCAGTTTCACTTGTTAAAAGTATATTCAGTGTGCAGACAGAGAAAAGGGAGGGTATTTAAAGTGATAGTTCACCAAAATTATAATTTTGCCATTCTTTAATCACACTTTTGTGTTCTACAGAAGAAAGAAAGACAGGCGGGGTGGAATGAGAACAGGGTGAGTAAATGATTCCATCATTTTTGTGTGAACTATTCCTTCGAGCTGGCAACATCAGCAAGAGTTTCAAAGGCAACAAAATACATTTGGTTTTGATTTCACACTGATGACCTTAAGGGAAAAAAGTGAAAGTGGAACATGGGAAATGGAGAAAGAGAGAGACTCAGCAGATCAAAAGGAATATACTCTGTGAGGCCCACACTGCCGTCTGTCTGGTCGTCCCTTTGTGGGTTTGCGGTTGTTGTGGTTTATCCTGTAGTACACAATAACCTCCAACAGCCACACATGCCACTATACTGTCTATTCTATAGTGCTTGGCATCCA